ACGCACCCATACCATCATCAGCCACACACACACACACACTTATTGATATTCTTAGCCACACTCAGGTAGCTAATTGGTCTTACCTTGAAGCTACAGGTAAAGAGATATTCCTCAGACAAATAACCAATCGTAATCACTTTAAAGCCCCGATGATCTTTCTGATTGGACGAGAGATCCCACCTTGTTTACCTTGAAGTCACTGCCAGGAAAGAACACTCGCCACTTAACAAATGAACCAATAGCAACCGCACATACACCTTTGATAATCTTTCTAATTGGCTGAGAGAGATTCCGACCTAGAAGCCACAACCAGAAGACTTGTCCCGTAAACAAATGGTCTGTGGCAAGTCCTTTTAAATCTCGAGATGATCATTCCTTTAGCCCGAGAATCCCGACCTTGTGGTGACCGTGGCTTGGCATTCTCTTGCCCCTCGCCGACATCACTGACAAATGGTAGCGGCGGACTGGGAGCCTTAGTGAGGGGGGGTTAACCTTTACTGGTGACGTGGTTGACTGTGGGGTGCCTGGCTCTTCGATGATGTTTTTACCCAGGGTCATGTTGTGGCACTCTGGGGGGGGTGATATTGTGGCACTGGGGGGAGAAGAGGGGGGGTGAGAGGTAAGTGGAAGATATAGAAAGGGATAATGGAGGCAGAGGAAGAAGAGAATGTGATGAAGTGGATAGGGAGTAGGAGGAAGCAGTCGAAGAAGAGTGATAGAGAGGGAGAAGGAAAGGAGATTGTTAGGGGAGGTGGAAGAATGGGTAAAGGAGAGTCCACCACACTGTATGCCAAGGTACAGGGGAAGGCGCAGGAGGAGGGAGGAGGAGGTCAGAGTGCTAAGGGCGTGTGTGTGTGTCAAGTGTTGTGAGGTGAAGACGGTGTTGTGTTGTCCCCTTCAGGATTATTGGCTTTGGTAGTCAGTTAGTTTACCACCTCTCCTGACTGACTGAGGGACTGACTGACTGACTGAGGGACTGACTGCCTACTGACTGACTGATTGACTTCCCGCACTAACGCTGGGGATGCTGTCTACGTCACCCCTGGATCATGACGTAACAGCATGGCAGCAGTGACGTAGAGCAGGTGTGGGGGGTCAGCTGGCGTGGACAGGTGAACGCAACATATATAGTGTGTGTGTAGGAGAGGTAGGAGGGGGGAGGCAGAGGCGGCAGAGAGAGAGAGAGGGCAGCAGGGAGGGAGAGGGCAGCAAAGAGAGAGAGAGGGGCAGCAGGGAGGGAGAGAGAGGCAGCAGAGAGAGAGAGAGCAGCAGGGAGGGAGAGAGGCAGCAGAGAGAGAGAGAGGGCAGCAGGGAGGAGAAGGCAGCAGAGAGAGAGAGAGGAGGGCAGCAGGGGGGAGGGAGAAGGCAGCAGAGAGAGGGCAGCAGGGAGGGAGAGAGGCAGAGAGAGAGGGAGAGAGAGAGAAGGCAGCAGAGAGAGGGGAGGGAGGAGAGAGGCAGCAGAGGGGGCAGAGAGAGGAGAGAGCAGCAGGGGGGCAGCAGGGGAGGAGAAGGCAGCAGAGAGAGAGAGAGAGGGCAGCAGGGAGGAGAGAGGCAGCAGAGAGAGGGGGCAGCAGGGAGGGAGAGAGGCAGCAGAGAGGGCAGCAGGGGAGAGAGAGGCAGCAGAGAGAGAGAGGGCAGCAGGGAGGGGAGAAGGCAGCAGAGAGAGAGAGAGAGGGGGGCAGCAGGGGAGGAGAGAGGCAGCAGAGAGAGAGAGAGAGAGAGCAGGCAGGGAGGGAGAGAAAGGCAGCAGAGAGAGAGAGAGGGCAGCAGGGAGGAGAGAGAGAGAGAGAGAGAGGGCAGCAGGGAGGGAGAGAGAGAGAGACAGACAGACAGTGTGAAGGTATCCAGCACAATATGTCAGTAAGGCAGGATGATATTAGCCCTGGGACTGAGGCGGTCGTCCTATATCTCTCCTGTGATTGGCTGGGAGGTGCTGAGACTCCTAGGAGATTTATCCCTCTACAAATAAAAAAAAAAGTTGATAAGAGGAGATGCTTAATAGAAATAGGTGTGTGTGTGTGCGTGTGTGTGTGTGTGTGTGTGTGTGTGTGCGTGTTCGTGTGTGTGTGTGTGTGTGTGTGTGTGTGTATCTATGCTTATGAGTGTATGTTTCTTGACTCAAATTCCTAAACAAAACATCTATTCACTTGATATAATTTAAAACCATAACAAGTATATAATAATAACAAATTTTCTTATGGTCAAAGTAAGATATTTTTATGAATCTTTTTTATTTCCCACCCACTCAAAAATTCTGCCCACGAACTATTTTTGGAAATCTTCAAAAAATGTCCAAAAATTTCCCTTCACTTCAGCTCGGAACATTTACTGGAGGAATTTACGTGTTGTTACAGGAAGAAAGCTCCTGCTGCTGCTGACATTCTGACAATAATACCAATGTGTGTCAGGGATGAAGGAATGGTGTCAGCAGGTGTGAAGATGGTGTGAGTAGGTGTGATGGTGTCAGCAGGTGTGAAGATGGTGTGAGTAGGTGTCCAGGTGTGAAGATGGTGTGAGGAGGTGTGATGGTGTCAGCAGTTGTAAGGTGTAGTGTCAGCAGGTGTGAAGATGGTGTGAGTAGGTGTGATGGTGTCATCAGGTGTAAGATGTAGTGTCCAGCAGGTGTAAAGGTATAGTGTCAGCAGGTGTAAAGGTATAGTGTCAGCAGGTGTAAAGGTGTAGTGTCAGCAGGTGTAAAGGTATAGTGTCAGCAGGTGTAAAGGTGTAGTGTCAGCAGGTGTAAAGGTATAGTGTCAGCAGGTGTAAAGGTATAGTGTCAGTAGGTGTAAAGGTATAGTGCCAGCAGGTGTAAAGGTATAGTGTCAGCAGGTGTAAAGGTATAGTGTCAGCAGGTGTAAAGGTATAGTGTCAGCAGGTGTAAAGGTATAGTGTCAGCAGGTGTAAAGGTATAGTGTCAGCAGGTGTAAAGGTATAGTGTCAGCAGGTGTTAACACAGCATAAAGTGTTTTTGATCTTTGGTGAAAATTAAATAAAAACAACATTACCAGAGTTTGAGGCAGGTGATTGAACAGGTATGCGAGCGTGTGTGTGTGTGTGTGTGTGTGTGTGTGTGTGTTGAGGCAGTATTGTTGTTCCCTGACCGGTGTTCTGGCTGTGTTATGTATCGCTAGCTGTATTCACAACACGTAACATTTTATTTGTATCAGAACATACAGATCGGACACAGATTGGGTTAAATGCATTATATTCATTTGGGTGTAATTCATATACACACAGAGTTTCCATACCAATATTACACTGTGTTTGGCCAGAGGAACATATTTTAATTAAAAACACGAAAATGTAAATATAGTACAGTACTCATATTACATGGACGAAAATTAATTCCCTATTATTTGTATATATGTATGTATGTATGTATGTGTGTGTGTGTGTGTGTGTGTGTGTGTGTGTGTGTGTGTGTGTGTGTATGTAACGCTAAATACCAATAACCTCCAATAAAGCTTTAAAAATCAACTAACTTTTTGTCTAATCAGGATAATTTTTTTTTTATTACTAATACTTAATGGAAACTAATTCGTTTATTTACAGTGTTTCATTTGAGCCGTCATTTACCACCATTATATAATAAAACTCTAGGTTAGGTTAGGTTTTTTGGTTTAGGTTAGGTTAGGTTTGGTTTGGTTTGGTTAGGTTAGGTTAGGTTAGGTTAGGTTAGGTTAGCAAGGGTACTATGTATCTACAGTGTATGGTAATGTCTCCTCGTGTCATCTTGAGCGAGGTGGGATAGTGTTACTTCACATAACACAAAAAAAACACCTTTTTATTGTACAGAATTAGATGTTAGTCATTCATTATTTATTCTTCGAATGGTCATTCATTCATTCGTTCATTCATTCATTCATTCGTTCGTTTGTTCATTCTTTCATTCATTCGTTTGTTTATTCTTCTATTCAATATTCATTCGTTTGTTCATTCATTCATTCATTCGTTTGTTTATTTTTTCATTCATTCATTCATTCGTTTGTTCATTCATTCATTCATTCGTTTTTTTATTCTTTCATTCATTCATTCGTTTGTTCATTCATTCATTCGCTTGTTCGTTCATTCATTCATTCGTTGTTTATTTTCATTCATTCATTCGTTTGTTCATTCTTTCATTCATTCGTTTGTTCATTCTTTCATTCATTCGTTTGTTCATTCATTCGTTTGTTCGTTCATTCATTCGTTTTTAGTTTTGTTTTTGTATTATTCATTGATTTATTTCGTTCAGTTTCTTGTTTCATTCGTTCATGGATAAGTGTCATTCATTGATTTCATTTATTTATCGTTTGTTCTTCATTCCTGCATTCAGTGATGGTGTCTTCTCTCCTCTTCTCTCCTCTCCTCTTCTCTTCTCTTCTCTCCTCTCCTCCTCCTCTCCTCTCCTCTCTTCTCTTCTCTTCTCTTCTCTTCTCTTCTCTTCTCTCCTCTTATACAACCATACACATTAGCGTTGTCCATCTAATCTATGACCTCCCTCCTCCTCCTCCCCCCTCTTTCCCTCTCCTTCCCTTCCCTCCTCCCCTCCTTCCCCCTCCCCTCCCCCTCCCCCCCGTACCCATTTGAATATAGTAGAAATATAGTTATTATTTTTGGGCGTGGTTTCCTCTCTCTCTCTCTCTCTCTCTCTCCTACAGTTTCACATTAGCTTAAATTTGCTCTCAGATTCACTTGCCTGTAACCTAACCTAACTCCATCGTTGAAATAAGTTATAATTCTTTAAGTGTCTACTGTACTCTATAGTGATCATGTACTATTTCGGGAGTACATTTTTTTCTGTACTCTAGGGTGATTATGTACTGTAATATGTTCTTTTTCTTTAGTACTCTCGTTTCTTCTGTACTCTAAGGGTATAATGTACTGTAATATGTTCTTATTCGGTAGTACTCTCGTTTCTTCTGTACTCTAAGGTGATGATGTACTCTAATATGTACTAAAACACACTTAATAAAGATCCCTCCCCTAAACCAATGTGTATATATAATTTTACCACAGTCTGTCAGGTGTGGGGTTCGAACCCACGCACTCTTACGAGTACCAGAACTTAAGTCTGGCGCCTTAGACCACTCGGCCAACCTGACCTTATATGTAATGAACTCATTCATTCTGTGAAGGCTGAGTGTGTGTGTGTGTAAACGTGTATTCGTGTATGTATAAATATGTTTGTGTAAGTATGTGTGTGTACTGTATGGATGAACATGAATTCGTAAATGTATAAATATATATTTATGTGCATGTTTATATATGCGTGTATATATGTATTCATATGTCTGATGTATATATTTGTATATGTATGTATGTTTGTATGTATGTATGTATGTATTTGCGTGTGTCTCTATGTATGTTTGTAGGTATGTACAGATATCCGTGGCGATATCATGTCATCATCCAGGTAGCTCGTGTGTGTGTGTGTGTGTGTGTGTGTGTGTGTGTGTGTGTCCACCAGAGTTTATAAAATCAATTAGTGAGGAAATGAGGCGCCTGGGGGCTAGGTAGTCTTATTATAACTTGTACCTCACCTTGACCTCTGACCTTAACCTCTACCTCAAACATTGATCTTTAACTTTTATCTCTGACTTTGACCTCTAGCCTTGACCTCTGACATTGACCTATCGCCTTGACCTCAAATCTTGACCTAACATTGACCTCTAACCTTAACCTCTAACGTTAACCTCTGATCTTGACCTTAACATCTAACCTTGACCTCTAACATTCACCTCTGACCTTGGCAATCTAACCTCTAACCTTGACCTCAACATTGACCTCTGACCTTGGGCTCTAATCTTAACCTCTAACCTTGACCTCAAACATGACCTCTGACCTTGGCTCTAATCTTAACCTCTAACCTTGACCTCAAACATTGACCTCTAACATTAACCTCTAACATTAACCTCTAATCTTAACATCTAACCTTGACCTCTAGCCTTGACCTCTAATCTTAACATCTAACCTTGACCTCTGACCTTGAGCTCTAATCTTAACCTCTAACCTTGACCTCAAACATTGACCTCTAACCTTGACCTCTAATCTTAACATCTAACCTTGACCTCTAGCCTTGACCTCTAACATTAACCTCTGACCTTGACCTCTAATAACCACATCACTAGGTATACTAATAAGATATTTTTGGGGAGGCTGTTCTTTAGTCATCCCAAGATCCGCCCTTCCTGACCTAACAGCCACTGCTCTACCCCCCCTGAGGGATTATTATTATTTTTTTCCATCACAATGACCAGTTCTTTAGTCGCTTTTGGTCATCTGTCAGCTACATCATGTCAGCTGTCAGTCATGGTCGTTGGTAGGCTGTAATCTATTCATTCTTGAGGGGGATTTTCACCTTTGACCTCTGCTGTGGGTTAGTAAGTGTCAGCTGTCAGTCAGTTGGATTGTGTGGGTTAGGAGGTGTCAGTTGCCATTTGTATTGTGTGGGTTAGGTGTCAGCTGTCATTTATCTTGTGTGGGTTAGAAGGTGTCAGCTGTCAGTCAGTTTTCCTTTGTATGTGTTATGATGTGTCAGCTGTCCTCCTCTTCCTCCTCTTCCTCCTCTTCCTCCTCCTCCTTCCACCACTGAATTCGTCTCTCTCTCGTGATTATTTCCCACCAGCTATAATTGGATATAATTACTCTCCTCATGGATTATCTGCTCCATTTATTTGGCATAGAGATCTAGGGTGGGGTTGTGTACGTCTTTGTTGTGTGTGTGTGTGTGTGTGTGTGTGTGTGTGTGTACTAACAAAAACAACAAAGAGTGAGAGAGAAAATGAGAGAGAGAGAGAGAGAGACGCCTCGGGGACAAAATAATGATACGCCACACATGATTTAAGAGCGATGGTCTGGTAGAGAGGTAATGGGACTCTAGGCTGTATGGAGGGGGGTCGTGGTGTTGCTCTGTTGGTGTGTAAAACAATGGAATGGGTGTCCAGTGATTAGAGTGGGACGGGGAGGAGGAGAGGGATGGGAGTGAGGAGAAGGGTGTTTATTTTGTTATTTATTTGTTTATTGTTTTTCTTTTGTTTTGTTTTGTTAGTAGTAGTAGTAGTAGTAGTGTTGCTCAGGGAACGAGAGCTTTGGCCTTACTCCGTCAACTGCTGCAGATATCGACTATGAGGCTATAGTCAATGAATGCCGCATCGATCTGCGGCTCAACTAATTTAACACAGATAGATAGTGTATGTATAGGATATTTAATATTGGCAAATAATGGTAGAAGGTGTAGTATTAGGGAGGCTGAGGCCACGTTTTAAAAAAAAAGTAGTAGTAGTAGTAGTAGTAGTAGTAGTAGTAGTAGTAGTAGTAGTAGTAGCAGCAGCAGTAGTAGTAGTAGTAGGTGTAGTATTAGTAGTAGTAGTAGTCCTATTATTTTTCTAATTTATTTTTCCTCAAATTTTTATTATTTATGTGTGTGTGTGTGTGTGTGTGTGTGTGTGTGTGTGTGTGTGTGTGTCCTAACAAGATACTCCTCCTCCTCCTCCCTCTCCTCCTCCTCCTCATTAACATAAACACCTTCACTCACTTACCTTGAATGAACCACTGAACCCCTCTAGTGAATCATTAACCTGAATCGTTTGTGTATGATCGATGTACAAATTGAACCACTCATCTCTCAGGAGGTTCACACACACACGTACACATACACACACACACACACACGTACACATACACATACACACACACACACACACACACACGTACACACACACACACACGTACATTAACATCCTGTGCTTCGTGTGAGTGATTGCTAGTGATTTGTTCAATTGACAGGTGACTCATGCACGGGCTGTGAGTATGTGGTGGTGGTGGTGGTGGTGGTGAATTCGTCGGTGACTACAGTAGGTGTACCAGGTGACTAGGTGTATCTTGACCAGGTGACTAGGTGTACCAGGTGACGAAACATTAGGATACATACATACATTCATACACAGGAAGATAGATAGATAAATATTCAAAATAAAATAGACTTACTGAAATTACTGTGTAGTTCAGAATCTTATTGACACCTCCTGCATTCTCCCCTTCTTCTGTGCTCTCCAGGAATGAGACACATCAACTGCTCCTAAGCCACACACACACACACACACACACACACACACACACACACACACAACATTACAGAATGGTAGACACCGAGACGTTGACAAAATGAGGAGATGTGGAGGGGGTGGGAGAGAGGGTGAGGGGGATGGGGAGGGTAGGTGAGGGTGTGAGGGGAAGAGGGAGTAAGAGAGGGTAAGGAGGGAGAGAGAGTGGGGAGATAGAGTAGGTGAGACAGGAAGGGAGGGGGCACAAGACGTTCTGCCAAGGGGCTTAACAGGCTGTTGAATAATTACCATTTGTTTTGTGGTGGTTTTCTTCGACTGGTGATTACTACTGATGCCTCGTGTGTGTGTGTGTGTGTGTGTGCGCGTTTCTATATGTGTGTTTGTGTGTGTTTTTATATGTGTATGTGTGTGTGTGTTTTGTGTGTGAGGTTCATTAAGGAACAAAGGGTTGGTGATGGCTGGGGTGTGACGTGTACAGGTGTGAGAGGGGCGAGTAGGGGTGAGAGGGAGAGAGAGGGAGAGGACCACGCAGGTATCTGATTGAAATGCGGTGTGTGATGGCGCTATAAACACGTTTTCTCTTTATTGGGGCCTCCTGAGATTGACCATATTGCTGGGCCTTTACAACAACCTCCTCACCTCCCTCTCACCCTCTCCACCTCCCTCCCTCTCACCTCACCTCTTGTTTTTCCTAACCCTCTCCCCAAACACCCCTTCCTCACCGTATATGCAAAGTCAATTTAAATCATTGAGGTCGAAAATGCAAGCGTGTTTGTGTGAACGTTTTGTAACCAGGGGTGAAACTACGACTCCAGCCGCTGGTAATTGAACATGATTCCCATCCAAACGAGAAGGAACGGCGAACGAAAAGCTGCGGGAAGACTCGACTCGTTCACCCATCTACATGTATAAACAGTGAGTGTATCTATTTAGCGTTGATTGCCGGCCAATTCATCCAAGCCAATATTGTAAATCTTCTCTTAACAAGGCAATCAGCTGGCTGACGATACCCACCTCCTCCGCCCCCACCTCCCCAGACACACACACACGCCCTCAAGAGCTGCTGTGGTGGTGATGATGATGGGTTGTGGTGGTTGGTGGAGGGTGTTAGTGGTGGTGGTGGTGGTGATGGGTGGTGGTGGTTGGTGGAGGTGTTAGTGGTGATGGTGGAGGATGGTGGTGATAGTGATAGTAATGTCACATATATTAGTGATTGGTGGTGGATGGTGGTGAAGATGATGGGTGGTGGTGTTTGGTGGAGGGTGTTAGTGGTGATGGTGGAGGATGGTGGTGATAGTGATAGTAATGTCACATATATTAGTGATTGGTGGTGGATGGTGGTGAAGATGATGATATTATACAAGTAACCAGTACAATTATTATCTTCACTACTACACTTAATTTTTATATAGAGAGAGACAAGATGGAAGATTACGTTAGGTTAGGTTAGGTCAGGTCAGTTTAGGTTGGGTTAGGTTAGTATCGACAGAAGAATTATTGTCTTCGTGTCACTGATGTGTTAAAACCTGTACTGTACGTGATGTTAGGTAATAGATAGTGACCATTAATATCTAGGTCACTCCTGGCGCACCTTATGGTTAGCCTCATCAACAGGTGTCGGTGTATACATATGTTATAATTGGCAGATGGTGCAAGACAGCGGTGAGACGGAACAGGTGGTGCTGAGGAGAAGGACCCCTTGGAGCCCGCCAGCCTGCAGTACCATGCCACCACCCACCATCTGCCGCCCACCATCTGCCGCCCACCACCTGCCGCCCACCACCGCCCACCACCCACCACCTGCCGCCCACCACCTACCACCCACCACCTGCCGCCCACCACCTGCCGCCCACCATCTGCCGCCCACCATCTGCCGCCCTCCACCTGCCGCCTAAATATCCATTCCTCCTTCAGCAACAACTTTATGGAGTTTCAACCCGCCTGTGTCACCCACCTGTTGATGTTGTCCGCTCTGTAATACACTAAATTGGTTCTGTATTAAGATGAAATGATTTATACCTATGTTGATTTAGATATTC